ATTTTGAGCCTAGTGAGATTTGAGCCTTTATTCATTGTCTGTGTGTGTCAATTGAATACCTAAGTTATTAGAATTTGCCTTGATTCTACACTTGAAAAAATGCATTGATGATTTTGAGCTTTAAAAATGATTTAGGCGGTTCTTGAATTTAGCTCGTTTGGCCTTGTTCTTTGTCCTTAAAAATATTTTCCACTAGTAGCCCGTTTGAGCCTTAAGCCTTTTTCTTGTCAACCGGTTTATCTTATTTATTTTGAGAGTTGACTGATATTTGGGATGTATGGGGATAACGGAGTTATTTATTGGATGATTGGGTGTGGAATGAGGTGTGATTGAGTTGCATTTACTGTGTTTGACCGAAAAAAAAAAAAGAAAAGAAAAAAAAAGAAAAATAATAAAGAGAGCTCGCAAGTCGAACTGTTGGGATTCTACTCCTCTTACTAGTTGATTTATTTTGACGTGTAATGAGTAATGGGAAACCACTCTAGGACACTTGGATGACCTCCAATGTTTATACCTAGAGAATGTTGTCCATGCAGTTTGATTTTGTTTGGAAAAAATGGAACTCTCTAAAAAAAAAAGAAAAAAAAAAAGAAAAAAAAAAAGAAAAAAACATGGTCAAGTACTTCCTTTGTAATTTGATTTGAGCATTTATGAGTTGTGTATGGATTGTTTTGGTTTGGGATTGAGAAACTTCATGTTGATTAGAGAGGAAGAGTGGAGTATGTCGAGTAGTCTATTTACTCGAATGGTATGATTGTTTATTTGAGCCACTTAACCCATATATATCTTACCCTTGACCAAATAGCCTACATTACAACCTGGAAAGACCTTTTGATTTAAAGCTCATGATTATTGATTGTGTTTGAAGTAGAGTTTTAGATGATTGGCAAACATATAGTTAACTGGGTGTTCAATGTGACTTGAGCGTGTCCTTCTCTTTTATATATTGATGACATGTGAGTGAGGCACTTATATATTCCTATTTGAGAGTTCGTTGATTCAAGGTGGATACAAGTTAATAGTCAAAGCATGATAATTATGATCTTTTGAATTTTTCTTGGTTGCATTGAATAACTTGAAGCTGTTCTAGTTTGATATCACTCATTATGCTTGAGTTCTGATTTTCTTATTCTTGTTCGGGGACGAACAAGGGTTTCAGTTTGGGGGAGTTGACATTCATCATATTTTCATGCATTATGAGTGATATATTGTGATATTTGGCCATGATTATCGTGTGATTGTGCACCATTTCGTTTTATTTATTAAACTATGATAGAGGTGTTTTTGTCGTTGTTTTTGCAGGAAATATGCCCGGAAATGCGTTGGAGATGGAATCGGGACGAAAAACGGCGAAAACGGGTGCAGAAGAGGTCACACGACTCGTGTGGGTAGTGACACGGGTCGTGTGGGTTGAAGAAATAAGAGACGCAGCTACGGCATTTTCACACGAGTCGTGTGGGTTGGGACACGAGTCGTGTGGCCTCACACGACTCGTGTGACCCGGTCGTGTGAGTGCTCGTGTGAGTCTGGGAGTTTGCCGAAAATTGGAGAAAAGTCACACGACTCGTGTGGCATGTCACACGACTCGTGTGACGCGCAGACCAGACCTGCGGGGAATAGGATTCTTACGCGTTTTCTTCCCTTTTTCGACCCTGAATGACCCTACAGTATAAAAGAGGCCTTAGGAACTCGTTTTTGGGACTTTTGACACCATTGGAGGCCTAGAGAAAGCACGAAACACACGAGGGATTCGAGGAAGTCAAGATTGAAGATTCGGGAACTAACGGCGACAATAGTTCTTCTTTCTTTTCTCTTTTTCTTCTTCATTGAACTCATGAATATATTTATTTTGAGTTTTGAGAATATGTTTAGTAGCTAAACCTTTTAGGGATTCTAGGATTTGCGAGTACTCGGATTATTTTATGAAGTGATTTTGTTTATTCATTCCGGTTTATCATTCGTTTATCAATTTCTTGTGCTTTTGTTAATTGTGTGAATATAAGGGCCCGTATTTATGCATATTTGTGATTGACTTGAGACCGAGAGGAGATAGTTGATTGCTAGAATTGGGAAATTCATAACGTAAGAGACTAAACAGACCGAGAGGTTGATAGAATCTTGCGAGGGAACTAGAATCTTAGGAGCTTATGGGAGTTGATTGTTCATCTTGAGACCGAGAGGAGATAGATAACAATTAATATCTACGATTTAACTTGTTCGAGAGAAAGGTGTAAATTACTTTAGTGATTATCCCTACGAATGGTAGAATTAAATAAGGTTTGAATGAATAATTAATCTTTGTTAGAATAATCCCGAGGAAAGCATAGCCTAGAATCTATTTTCTCATTCTTGATTTATCTTAGAACAAGCCTTCATTAGTGTTAGAATTTATTTTGCAATCATTCATTAGTTTAGAATAAAATCACCATTCAAATTTGCATTAGACTAAATAATATTTAATCGTTTACATTTTGATACTTAGTTAATTTTGACAACAATCTCTGTGGAATACGACCTTGCTCGCCACTCACTACAGTTATACCGTACACTTGCGGATAGTGAAAATATTTTGCGAACAGTAATAATCTTATATACTAATCCTCATAAATTTAGTGTTTGAAATTTTAATGGTTGGTATTTAAAGATAATGATAAGAGATAAAGTTTATTAAAAAAGATAAAGTTGAAAGAATGAATAAAATATTTCTAACGACAACTAATTTGCAAAAATGTTGACATCCTACAACAACATGTATTAAGAAACAGATGAAGTATATATGATTATGAATATACTAATGTGTATTAATCTTAACTATAGCTATAGGTTGAAATTAGAAGGAGGATGCACCATAAGTGGGAAACTTTTGAGTTCAAAATTTGAAAATTGGAGCATTCTTTATCCAAGAAAGTCTGATGGGTTTAGGCTTGATAATTACAGGAGTACCACATGTCGGACCAAAATCCAGATTGAGATAATTATTTGAACATACTTTGACTTTTTATTAATACTGTTAGGTTAAAAGAGTGAAAGTGGTGCCCATATGTGACCTCACTTGTTCCCACCAAAGCCACACGCATCCTCTAGATGTTTGTCCAACAAGGGGATTTTAATACTCACTCATACTCTAAACTATTATTATTATTATTTGTTTTATTTTTCAATATACCACATCATTTAAAATTATTCTTACTTATATTTACAATTTTTTAATAACAATATATCTCAAATTTTTAGTATCATATTTTATATTTTAATTCGTCGGCTAAAACATATTTGATATGCAAATTGTTTTGCACTGACTGTTTCGCGAACCGTTCTTCAACCAAAACTTTGGTAACTTGCAAAAAACATCGGGAGAGTCCTAACGGTAAGTCCCCCGATACTCAAGTTAAAACTTTACTCGTGCATTCTGTAATATTAAAATATAAAGTGATATGTATTAAGAAATGAAAGAACCTGGTAACCTCCTTTTTATAAGGAGATTGTTTTCATACACAAACAACCTTATTGCTAGGAGTAGGAAATAAATATTTTCGTATTTTTTCATTTTCTAGTATAACACGTCTATGACGTCTTTTTTTTTTTTAGCGAGATATACCTACCGTAAGAGTAGGACGCCGCCTTCTCCACTATCAGGACTCGGCAAGTCCCTAGGTCGGTGCACCGAAACAACTGACCTCGAGGTATCGAGGTCGTGGGTATGAGGATAGGTTAGACCTCGAGACAAAGTCAGGTTCGACCTCGAAAAGACCACGACATACAAGTCAAGAGGTTAGAGTTACGACCTAAGGACCCATGAGCTAAAATAGTAAAAAGGAAAAGAATCATAGTAAGAATAAAATCATCGCTTACTTATGGACTCTTGCCTAGAAAGAAATGTAGTACATTAGAAAGTAGGATCTGATTGGATTTCTTACCTAACAAGGACTCTCTTGGGTAACAAGATATCTGCCCCATATAAGGGTGTCAGGTTCTTCTTCATAGGGTGTCAGGTTCTTCTTCATATGAATATCGCATTCTATGTTTTTTACTTATGTAATACATATGTACAGTTTTGAACGAGTTATGACTTGAACGTCGGAGGTTTCTCAAGGACGAGGACCGTTCAATGCATAGGCGCTCAACCCTATTCGTGACACAAAGTGACGTAACAAATTGGCGTCGTTTGAGAACAAATCAGTCTTTTATCGACTATAAGGGACTAGCATTTTTCTAACAAGTCTCACAAAAATTCACAGTCATACCGAGTGATAATCTTATGAAGAATCTCAAAAATGCCATGAATGTCGCATGGCAAAAGAGGCCGATTGGAGACGACTATTCACGGGGCTAGCCGCAGTCCACCAACCCACTTATCACGACCTACGAGACTGACTTTCAATCTCACAAGTCTCACCAATTTTTTCTCACAAGTCTCACCAAATTTTCATCTCGTAAACATAGATTTTTCATTAAACCTACATATTTAATTTTATCTTACAAAATACACATTTCATTCCAAAACATTACATTTAATTTTATTGTAAGAAAATGCGCTAACTCAAAATTCAAAATAAAATCGACTAATTGATTTTGACCGCTAGCCAATTGACAATAGGTCACATTGACTAATTTTTGGTGCTTGAATTTAAAATGTTTGCAAATTGCAATAGAACATTTTCAAACAAATATTACACTAGTATAACACCCATATATTACATGGGTGAGGACGGTACTTCATCCCGTCATAAAAGTGGGATGAGTATGCGGACAAGTCAAATCCAAAATCGTTCCGGACCGCGTCCACCCCTACCATAAATAATCAACATATTTATAGATAATTCAAACATATCCAAGCCTAATAACGAAGCATGTAATTTTACCACATGGGATCCCGAAGTATGCGAGCCTGCCACATAGGCTCAATACGTTCTCAATTAATATATAAGGGGATATCTTGTATTTCAGATTTCCTTTCTCTGTCGTGTGAGCAGAAAAAAAGATCTTTCTCAGAGAATACTCTGTGTGTTTGTCGATTTGTGGTTTCCATTAGCGTTTATAGCTTAAGCGCAAGATTCAATCTTTTGAAAACGTATTCAAGCTACACAGCTGAATATTTGGTTCGGGTAGGTGGGCTGCTAACCTGGACGGCCATCTCAACGCCGCCAATCTCCAAGTCCGGCGGCACCTCGACTGATTATTCAGTGACGTTACCAGGCCGCCGGAAATCGCGGAAGGTCCTTTACCCCCATCAATAGCTTTATTGGGCCGCCGCAAACGGGCCAGAAAAGGTGAATTTCGTCGTACTGACCTAGTTTTTATTGATCTAATTACTGTCTTTTTTCCCAATTAATCGATATGTTCTTTCTTCCACACGAAAATTTTTAGGTAAATTTGGATTTAGGTTAATTTCCATCAATACAAGATGATACTCATTATTATCTATTTGGTCATTCTCAGATAACTTCATACGATAACCGTCGGTGTTATATTACCTAATAGTCGTTTCTTCGCAACCCATAGCAAGTGAATAAAATTTCTAGTAGCAATACATGTTTTTTATGTCACACGCTGCCGCCATTTATATTGCTTAAAGATTGAAACTTTTTTCTGGTTATTATGCAGAGACAGTTGGTCATCTGCTATTTGTTGTTCCTATGGCATTTATTGTACATTTAGATGGCATGATCTGAATAAAAAGAGGAGCTTTGTTTAAGTGGATTTAATGGGTACCATCATTTTAGTCGCAGATTTGTGATTTAATACTGAGCTAATATGTATCTGCATTGCCAGGTGAATAATTTTGGGGAACTTGAAATGGGGCTGACTTCCCTGAACGATACAGGTGAAGCAATGAAATTATGTGTGTTTGATTTGAGAAGGGGACAAACTGAAGGGCAGGAGTTGGACAAGATTCTTTTCTTCTATCCCGCTGATTTGCCAATTTCGACACAGCTCTCGGTTATCGGCCTTAGTGAAGGACTCATCACATTTACGAGGTTGGCTGCACATGAATTTGTATAGAATAATCAGAAGTACTTATAATTTAGCTGTTTTAGAGTTTTTTGATGTGGGAATCTGGTAATATAATCACCGATCCATTGGCGAAGACTCATCTTTGATACTGTATTTATTTCATATTTTCTGAACCATCTCTTTTATTGTACAAAATGTAACCTTTGGAAAACGTTGGAGACTTGGAACTTCTTTGTTCCTTGCTTGCTCGTGTTCTCAAGTGATCAGAAGGGAAATTTTCTTTAAAGAGTTGTTTTTTCTAACCAATGGGATGTTGATCCGCATATTTTCACTGTAAATTTGTAATTTAGTGCATGATGTTTTTTATAATGTAAATATCTAGTTTATCAAAGAAACCTCAAGAGCATTGTCTCATGTTCAATTTAGTTGAAATTGGGCATTGACTATTAGCTACTGTTCTTTACAGGCCTCATATATGTGTGCACTTGTTTTCTTTAGGTCTTTTTCATTGTTTTATTTGTTCTTGTGAGTGTGTGGTGTATCTGGGCATTTTTGTTTAAATTATGAATAATAGAATCAAGATGTTTCAAATTTCACTTGCAATTTTTGTACCTGCAACACAACCACAAAGAACTCTATTGTTACATTATGAAGAAATTCTACTATATGTGTCTTTTGTTTAATAGTCTCAAGATATTGTCCCTCTGACACACTTTTACATGGTTCATTTTAGTTTGGAACGGGGCTAGTTATTATGACATGAGTTTTTACGCTTATTGGTTCAACATTTGGGTTCCTGCAGAATATTCTCTCCCGACGCTCCATGTGAGGTCATTGAAGCAGAGATGCATTCTCATGTTTTCTATGAGGCAGAGCCCGATATATGGATGGTTATGGTGGGGCTATTTTTTCCTAGGAAGCTCTTTGTTTCTCTCTCTCTCTCTCTCTCTCTCTCTCTTTCATGCTGTTACCCTTAAATATTTTATTTCTGAACTGTGATTATTAATAAATCAACATAATTGAATTTTTGTGAATGTCGCTGATGTGCTGATTAACCAGGGAATGGTATATTTCGGTTTTCCTTGTTTGATTTAATGAGTTACGCTTCAAATTGCTTATTGTGATGTTTTGATCTCTTGTATTACTTTTAAAGAGTTTGACGCCATAACTTTGTTTATGGAATAAAGTGTGGTAGCTTCAGAGACCAAGTATGACTTTAGTGACTCCAAAAAATATATTCTGAAGTCACAAATTAGGATATACGTATTATTCCAAATAGGAAGGCACTTATGTATTTTTTATAAGACACTTTCATTTTATTTCATTTTAGCTTTGTTTGATTGATTTAACATATAATCTGTACTGATGATGCCTGTGCTATTTAGCAGATTCTTAATATATTACTACTGTAATGTTCTCATCCTTGATTAGGTAGTAGAAAAAGACAAGGAATCAGAAGCCATCTGGCGAGTTGATGCTCTACGGAGTATTCTTAAAGAAGCTCATTCCCTTTTCGTGATGTTTCATGGTCCCATTAGAAGCTTGGTCGATAGAGAACCTACTGGAGGACTTGTCAGAACACATCTGTATTATTTCATCATGGATTTTCTGAGTGGTGAGTCGTCTTTACATGCTTCCAGAGTTCCATGTACATAGATACGCCTAGAATTTTTTTTGGGTTTCCTTTTTGTGTTCTTCATTTGTTTCAACTTAAGTTACTAATTGTCAGCATTTGAAAAGCCATCACCATCGGGATATTGCTGCTGGGGTAAATGCTGCAATTGCGGTCTCAAAATGATTCACATTTCATTTGTGCACTTGGGGCAAATCACGAAGTAATCCATATTCACGCCTTGCCTTTTCTCTTTGGGCCAGATTTTTCAGTTGGGAAGAGACTTCAGCTGCCAAACTTTCGTGACTCTTTAAAAGAACGTGGAACAGTGCAGATGTTAACTGTGGGGCGGGAGGCTGCTCTTGAGGTGCAGGTTAGTCTCTTTGTAATATGTTNTTTTTTTTTTTTTTTTTTGAATGGATATATTGGATTACTTTTCTGTCTGACTTAAGAATGATGAAGTGAAAGAAGCAAGTGAAAGCTTAGTGGGTAATTAGGGCCTGTGTTGAATGTATTTCAGTTTGATGCAACCTCTAACCAGAAAGATATAACTTTTGGTTATATTTCATCTTCTGCACACTAATTTTAGCCTTACTGATAATTTATATCTTCAAATTACACGAATCTTCTCCGGCATTATGTTAGTAGCTAATACATTTTTGTAAGCAATTGTCATCCCATGTGTTGTTTCTTTCAGTCTCTCGTTAGAGTGTTGGAATCATGTGCGGGTAATGCAAATTGCCACTCATTGACCATGTTCCAGGACTTGCTGGTCTCGACTAGCCTCTCTCCTGTATGGTTTGATCTTTTTACATTTGTTTCTGTTCCTATATTTTTTTTCTATATTTGATCTTTGTTACTGGATGGGTTCTATTATATTTTTCTCAAAACCCCACGAGTTCTATTATATTTTATGTAGTTATTCTAACTGCTTCTAGTCATACATTGTTAATATCCTATATATTTTTATTTTTTTTTTTATAACTTTTCAGATCGACACTGTCAATCTATTTACGTACGCCGTCCTAAGGCTAACCCCACTTGCTCTATCCTCTGGAGTAAGTTCATGGACCAATTCACGCAAAGCAAGCACATCATGTAATACTTCTGCTGGGGCTGTACTAGCTAATTCGGGAACCGTTGTGGATCAATATCACAATTCTCGTGATACATCTCCACTTAGAAACCACAGTTATCCATTTGTTAGGCCTTTGCAGCATTCCAAGTGGTCCAAAGGGAAGGATGGCTTTCTCGTCACAGATATTTGGGGTTCGGATGTTAATGACTTGATGCCTACAAACCCAACTATTTGGCTTCACCAAACAGAGGAAAAAATGTATCTATTAGGTTATCAGCATAAGGGCCTGACCGTGATACTTCTTATTCCAGTCTCGTCAGTCAATGGGGAGCAAGGACTTGCTTTGGTGAAGCAGCAAATCCTTGAAAGCGTGAGTCTCGTTTTTTTAATAATTGTCTGTTTGTGCTCATGCAATTGTTAAAGAAAATAATTAACTAAAATTATGATATATATATATATATATAACTTTATGCATGCAATTTTTTCTAATAATTGTCTGTTTGGAACGGTTAATAATAATATTTTAACCGTTTACTGCTTTTAGTGCTATGCCTTTTTCTTTAGTTTAACCGGGAAGATTAATCGGCAGTTCCCTTGCATGGGCTGTAATAATTAGCAATTTTCTTGTGTTAATAAATAGGCTTCATTGAAGATGTTCAAAGTTGAAGAGAAGCTATCGAGAGGGTGGGGTGGTGAGAATGCATATCACGTGAGTGGGTATCGTTATTTATTGATCGATGGTGATCGACGTATATCAAGGGCTTCTCCACCTGGAAAAGTAACAACTCTGGCAAAGGTATATATAACCTATTTAATTTTGTAACTTTCGGTAAACAACTTTTTTGTTGCCCAGTTGTGATTGTGCAGTTGTTGTAAATTTTCTTGTGTGTACGTATTTTAGGACTCCTTGATTGCGCTGACTAAGCTTCGGGAGGAGGTTGATTTGGAAAAAGATAGGGCTAAATGGGATAATTCGGGCCGTGAGAAAGATCTTCAAATCTGCATGAGGGCCAAAAACAATGCCTGGGTTATTGCTCGGCTCACGACAGGAAAGGAGCTTTTTATGGTTTTGGAAAAAGCTAGCGAAACCCTTCTCTACGCCTCTGATGCCCTCGAGAAGTTCAGTGACAGGTAAATCTTACATCATTGGATCATGTCATTATTAGTATGATCTTAATTTTTAGTCATCTGCCAGTGACTAATTTGTTTTTTTATTTTTTTTTTCGAAACATGGAAAGTTCGTGATTTTGTAGTGTAAATTATGTGAATTGAGAAAATTATATCAATAGTCTTTCACAACCGTAAATTTTCGCAGGTACTGCAATGGTGCGTTTTCCTTGGATTAGACAACGGTCTTTAACTGAGGTCACTGGCATGATGCAATTGGCATTAAATTTTGAAGAATTTGCCCACGATCGAGCGTTTGTATAAAGTCCAACTCCATATATTTTCGTTATAATGACGATTTATTTTTCCCCCTTTTTCTGGTATCCTTAACAGAATAAGACGGTAATATGAAATTGTCGATCTTCGGATTAGAAATAAAAATTCTCCTTATGCAGTACAGTTTAATGGTTAGTCGATGGTTTTCAGTTATGTACAGTTTTTGAACATTGTATTTGTGTTTATTGTCCTTCATACAAAACTCTTGCCAGGCCCGTGAATTGGAAGTTTCATCATCTATTGTATTGTATGCAAGATGATACAACTAATGGAACGTCGTGTGATTAATAAATATTCCCTATATGATAAATAATAGTAGTCGTTTATGGAGTTTTTGATTTTACATTTATATTGTATATATAAATAAATATTTATCTTTACCTTTATAATAATAATTAAATTATATATTATTATTAACTGAAAATAAAACTATTTATCAAAGTAAATCAACTTTGGTGCACGATATGGTTGTTTTTTTACTGTTTTGTGATTCTTGCAAATCGCTTCTTATTAAATTTTATTTGTCATATCTTTTTAATTCGTGGATTTTATATTATTATTTTTTTAATTCTTTAAGTATTATTATTCAAAACTTATTGAGGATGGATCAAATTTTATGCAGCCACATGAATTTTTCGTCTAGTGTTTCTTATAAAAACATAGGTGCACAAAAAATCTTCCAAATAAATAATATTGCTCAAAATATATTTTTATTTATCTGGGTCCCACCAATGAAAATGGGCTGATATAGACTGGAATTGTAGCAGAGCACGCCTCATAATACGTGTAAAAGTCGAAATTTTCAGAAGTGGGGGCCCTGCTCTTATATTGGTCCAAGCCCATGCGGCCCACTACTTTTTCTTCAATCATACATGAAAAGGTACCCTGATTATTTAAAATTTGAAAATACACATGCGTTATTATCTATTTTCTTTTGTCTTTATTGCAATTAAACACTCTAGCATTAGATATTAAGTTGAAAAATGATTTCTCACAATTTCTTTAACGACCAACAGTTGCTCCATAATTGAGTCAACCTTCTATATACTTCAAATAAACTTACCAAATTCATAAAATTATATTAGTATTATTTAGGTAATCAAAGAATATTAGTGTTATTTCATAAAATTATATTAGTGTTATTTAGGCAACCAAATACTCTAGCTTAGATGTAAGAGAATTAGAGCAACATAATTTTATCTTTTTAGTTAAAAGAAAAAAAAATGAGAAGTAATAAAAATTGAATCATAAAGCATTATAATTAGAGTTTTCAGTATGTCAATATTTAACTGTTATTATCAACAATTAGGTTATAAACGAGTCGGGTATTTTTATTTTTAACTTGTCGAACTACTTGACTCATTAACTTAATGAATTTTAAATAAACTCGAGCTCGACTTGTTGTATATCAAATGAGTGAAAACAAGTCGAACTCACAACCAACATGTTTCATTTAATAATTCCATATCATTAATGGCGCCCTAATCCCATATATAACCTTGCCCTTTTCCTATCACCACGCATGACAAGTGCATAGCTAAATATGACGTCATCTCGTGACGTTATAGTATTGGAAAGTGACGTCACAACATTAACTCATTCCTAACTTTTTTTCCCACTAATTAAAATCTAAGTTGGGAGGTTAGGCTAAATTAATGTGGTCCACTTTTAGCCATTGTACTACTAATGGATTTTCCTAGCCACCTTAAATTTAATTAAAATGGTAAAGGAAAAGAAAACTATTTTGATTTTTCTTTTCCATGATAATGGAAGTACTTAATTATAGTAGTGCAGCTAATTGTTAGGTCAAGAAATATCACCTAACCTGCATTTATAGGTTACAATAATATATTACCAAATACTATTTTAATCTGAAATTTATGTTTATTTATTTTCATTTGGAGCATATTAAATGGTTTGGCAGGGGCCTAACTCTTTGTAACACATCTCATGTGTGGATAAAAAAGGTACCATAGATTAACATAGCCATCATTGCCATAAACAAAGTTGGCCACTTGTTGATAATTTTGATTTGGTGGATTGCCAACACATTTAGTTAGACATGGCCATGGGTCACCAGTCCGAAACCGACAAGAATCGGGCCCGGTCAGACCCGTTGACCACTGGTCTGGACCCGTGTTCGGATTCAAACCGAGCCGGTTCAAAGTCAAATGTATATATATTTGAAAAGATGAATTGCTTTAACATAATTAAAAGAATTTTGGTAAAATTAAGAAAAAAAAAAAACAAAAGCTTATAACATGGTGGTTAAATGAGAAAAGGTAAATGTTTGTTGAGGAAAAAATAAAAAGAAGATACATTATTTGTTGTTGATGAGGTTTTCACCATAGTTATCATGACATATCTAAAGGGGGAAAAAGCAAAATAAACATTGAAAAATGTCATAAATTAAACAAAATAAAAAAGTAAATAAAATCGAAGAATTATTAATAATAAAAAGAGTTGTACCATACTACCATCCATCAAATCAGCTTATATTAAAAAGTTAAATGCCTTTGTGATGAAATTGCAATTGGAAACCAGGCACTTTTAACTTTGTAATTGAACTTTTCACCACCCTGTTTCCTTCACCTTTTAGTTTTAGCCTTTTGTAACATTTCATTTTTCTTTTTTCATTTCTATTTAACACAAATGAAAGAAAAAAAAATGGTGTTGTTTCTTTTCTCCTTTCTGTTTTGGGAGAACTAATGTTACTCTATTTAGCTAGTTCTACATGTTTGTATACAAAATTTTTCACTTAAAGTGTTTTTTTTTAACTAAAGTTAATTTGAAAAAAAAATTATATGGTTAATTGTTAGATGGATTTTAAATTTATATTAAAATAATATTTATAATAAAATAATTAAAGTTGATTTCATGTAAAAGTAGGAGAGAGATGATATGAATTGATAGTTAGTTAAAATTATGTGAATGGATGAATAGTAAATTAGAGTATATGCGATGTGTAAGAATGATTTGATGATATTATTTAAATATATTGATAATATTGAGGATATTGGAGTTGAGTTAAACATGAGTTAGATTTTGAGTTGAATGAAATTTTGAGTGAACTTTGTACTTGGCCAATAGTATGCTGTAGTACTCACTTATTACACACAGTTGATAGAAAAATGTGTAAGAATTAAAACTATATAATGAGAATATATATATATATATATATATTCATACAAACTATATATATTCATACAAACTATTCCATTAAATTCTGAAATCTTATTTTGTACGCTAAATTAGACTATGTTTGATAAAACTAGCTAAAAGCTACTCCCTTCGTTTTATTTTAATTGTCGTTTGAGTGTATACTTCTTTTTGCTTATTAATTGTCATTTGGGATAACTATGAACTAATTTGTTTTGTAACTATCTAATATCCTAAAAATCTGTTCATATTCGTGAAATACTAAGGAGAGAGAAATTTGTTAAAAATGATAAATAAGATTTAAAAGATTTAGGAAAATATAATGTACAGGATAAGACGACTAATTCCTATCAATACGTAATTTTGTTCTTTTAATCTAGAAGGACAAATAATATAAAATAGAGGGAGTAGCTGATAGCTGATAAGCTAGCTTATAGGTTATATGTAATTTTTGAGCTTATAGTTTATGACTTCTGAAAAACTAACTTATATGATAAAAGTGTTTAATAAAATTAGCTAATAAGCTAACTGAAATAAAAAATTCAACTAGCTTATTTGAAAAACTACATAAAGTAATTTATGAAAAGCTACCTAAAGTAGCTACTTAAAGTATTCTTAAAACTAATTTATATACATCATTAATTTTATTTAAAAAATTTTTATTTAAAACACGTAAGAAAATAATAAAAAAGACAAAACACAAAATTCAGAAAGTGAGATAAAATGCACATTATAGAAAAAAGATAATAAGTAGATTTATATAGAATAATTTAAATATATTAAATATGTGTATTTATGATAATTCAAACCTAAGCTATTTTGTATAAAAAAAATTAATAATTTTATTCGGTGTAATATTTTATCACATAAGATTACGAAGTATGTCAAACTGTCACTGAGGCTTAACGTAATTATATATGAGGGATTTGAACATTTACCCCATTTTTTTTTACAAGAGATTCAACAAAAAATTAATTATTTCATATTATGAGCTGTTTATTATCACTAAACCAAATATTATTCATTATTATCTTTTGACCCATTCTGATTTGTTCCTTGCCCTAAACTATGTGGGGATTTCAATATTGCTTTTTAATTAATAAAAAGGTAAGTCGCACTAAAAATGGCCCAACATTAGCTTGAAACATGTTATAAAATTGAAACATTGAGTAGGCCATTAACATGGCCCAAATCTATAAAACTAATTGCTTGTATAGACTTATTTAAAACCACAACTGTATATGAGCTCATCCAACAGCATTTGAATATGTTAGTAAAACATATTAAAAATGGAGCCTTAAGTAGGTATTTTGGATATTTGTCATGCATTAGATAAAATCATAAAATTACATCAAATGACTAGCATGAGGTAATATTACACAGATCAATTTTTAAATAAACTTGATTTGGTTAAACCATAGTTATGAATTGAAATAAACTTGATTTGTATTACAGAGAAACATCCATTAATAGTTACGCTTTCACGATATTAGACAAACGTAACGGTTAGACAAATATATGCATGTATACCCAATATATGCACATCCTTCTATACTGAATTGTGATATTCTAATAAATAATATAAAGAAAAATATAACATTTTATAAAATAATAACTATGTAATTTTTATTTATAAAGTATAACTAGTCGGCTTGCATAATGTTTAGGATGTAAAACTACATTTGCGTTAGAAGTTATGCACATGCTTTCATATTGAATTGTGATATTCTAAAAATCAATTTAAGTAAACATATATTATTTATAACATAAATATATAATATTATCTATAAAGTATAACGAGTCAACCTGCATAATGTTTAAGCTGCCAATAATAAAATTAATTATATAGGCATTGTTCTAAGATTGTACTAGGCTACTAGCTAACTAGCTAGCTATATAATATGTGGTTTTGGTGTAAGCAAGTCGAATAGAGTACACTACATATATATATAACTAAGTAAACTTGTTATGCATTTTAATTCAGCCTCAACCCTCAAATATTATATGTTTGGTATACTTCAAATAAGTAGAAGTACGACATTTTATAGTTAGTATAATTAAATGTTTTTGTGCAAATATTATGACTAACCGACCAGTGTATAGAACAGCTAGAGAGTACTGAATCAAATAAGAATTTATGTAGATAATTAAGGTTTGTATG